ATAGTAATGATAATGATAATAATAATGATAATAATGATAATAATAATGATAATGATAATAATAATGATAATAATAATAATAATGATAATAATAATAATAATAATAATAATGATAATTATGATAATAATAATAATAATATAATAATAATAAAATAATAATAATAATATAATAATAATAATACTAATAATAATAATAATAATAATAATAGTAATAATAATGATAATAATGATAATAATGATAATAAGAATAAAAATACTGATAATAGTAATAATAATGATAATGATAATAATAATAATAATAATAATAATATAATAATAATAATAATAATATAATAATAATAATATAATAATAATAATAATAATGATAATAATAATAATAGTAATAATAATAATAATAGTAATAATAATAATAATGATAATAATGATAATAATAATGATAATAATAATATAAAAAACTAATGATAACAATAATATAATAATAATAATAATGATAATAATAACAATAACAATAACAAAACAATAATAATAATAATAATAATAATAATAATAATCCCCGAGACCATGAAGTACCGGGTTGGCGTCCGGCGGGGCTAGTCTGTCTCATGGGTAGGGGGACTCTTAAGCCTTGGCTGGCAACCTCCCTAGTGATGGTGGCACGATAAAACTACTGGTTGGTGGAAACCTTAAAACACACACCTCATCTTACGAGAGAATGTCAAATATTGAATTAAACACTAACGACGTCTACGATACTGGATCTTTGAGTGAAGGTCTCGTGTCCGGCAGGTGTCCTGTGGATCAGCAGCGCAGGCCCGGTCGTCATCCCGCTACTGCTGGGCAACGACAGAAGAAATTAGGATGGTCGAAGGCAGACAACAGACGGTTGTTTGAATGTTACATTAGAAGTGAACCGGAGAGACGAGGATACCGAAAAAGAATGCTAGACTTGTGGATAGCTCGAAACACCAACGATGAGCTAAATGAAGTTAGTGAACAGAGACTAGCTGATCAAGTACGGCAGATTAAGATCAAGAAGTGGCTAGAGGATGTGGAACAAGAGGAAATATCTCTAAGAGTAAGAAATGAACATCAGGAGACTGACCATAATTCTACAGATGCATCAAGTAGAAACAGAACACTTGAGACCCAGGAAAACAGCAGGGACCAAAACAACACCCCAGTTGAAGAGGATCCCATTGTACCCACTGATCTAGAGTCACAAGAAGAGATCAGCCCAGAGCTCAGTGTTCTCCGAGACAGGATCCTAGAAGTGATGCTTCTAGAAGAGAGAACAGGAATACCATCATTGAGATCGTGTGATAGAGCAAAGCTGAGAGCAGAGGTTGGAAATGTCAATGAAGCCACCAAGAGGATTGAAACTCACAACATTACAGAACTGAATTCTTTAATGTATGCAGTGGCGTATGTCACCACAGAAAGAATGGGAATGTTAAAGAAGAGGAAAGAAAGGAGGACCGAAGAACCATTCTGGAAGAGGAGGATTAAACAGAGTATTGAAACATGGAGAAAGGATCTCAGCAAGATCGAAGAAACCCGAAGAGGGAACATGAGATTGAAACAAAGAGATAGAGAACGATTGAATAGAAAACACCGCCTTGAGGAGAATGGCACTTTGTACGTTTCAGACATGTTGAAGCAGAAGATCAAGGCTGGTGCAATTAAGATCAAGAGATATGATGAGAGATGCCAACAGTTTCAGCAAAATCAACAGTTTCAGACTAACCAGAAACTTTTCTATGAGACTCTGGATGGAAAGAATAGAGAAGGGAAAGAACAACCTGACCCAATTGAAGCAACCACCTTCTGGAGAAAGATATGGTCAGAAGAGGTCATTCACAATGAGCAGGCTTCTTGGCTACAGCAAGTTGAGAAGGAGTTGAGCTCAATTGAGGTGCAAGAGGATATCAACATCACCATGGAGGATATTAGAACAGGAGTGAGTAAGATGGCAAATTGGAAGGCAGCTGGCCCTGACTTAGTCCAGGGCTACTGGTTTAAGAAGCTACCAGGATTACACTCTAGATTGCAACTACACCTGCAAGACTGTGTGCGCCAAGGAAATGTGCCAGAGTGGATGGTCAAAGGAAGGACAGTACTCATTCAGAAAGACCCAACGAAGGGCACCCAAGCTAACAACTACCGTCCTATCGCCTGCCTACCCATAATGTGGAAGCTTCTGACTGGAATCATGGGTGAGAAACTGTACCAACACCTGGAGGGGAATGGACTGCTAGCAGATGAGCAAAAAGGTTGCAGGAAAGGATCGCGAGGAACGAAAGATCAGTTGCTTGTAGACAAGGCAATCATAAAGAACTGCAGGAGAAGGTTGACGAACTTGTCAATGGCTTGGATAGACTACAAGGAAGCATATGACATGGTGCCACATTCATGGATACTTAAATGCCTGGAGATGGTTGGTGGAGCCAAGAACATGATTACTGTAATTAGCAATAGCATGGTGAACTGGAAGACAGTATTAACATCTGAAAGAACAGATCTTGGACAAGTGGACATCAGAAGAGGAATTTTTCAAGGAGACTCCCTATCGCCATTGCTGTTTATCCTAATCATGCTGCCACTAACGCTAGTGCTACGAAAGATGAAAGCTGGATATAGATTTGCAAAGGAAATGAAGCCTGTCAACCATCTACTGTTCATGGACGATCTGAAATTGTATGGAGCCAACAAAGAACAACTAGACTCACTCGTACAAGTGGTAAGGATTTTCTCACAGGACATCAGGATGTCATTTGGGCGGTCAAGTGTGCGGTCCTAGAAATGAAAAGAGGAAGACAGGTCGGCAGCAGTGGAATAGACTTACCAGACGATCAACATATCAGAGAAGTTGAAGAGGAAGGTTATAAATACCTTGGCATCCTGCAGTTAGATAAGACTCTTAATACCAAGATGAAAGGCAAGATAACATCAGAGTATGTGAGAAGAGTAAAAAAGCTATGCAGATCCAAACTGAATGGAGGAAATATGATCAGTGGCATCAATACATGGGCCGTGAGTGTAGTACGTTACAGTGCAGGTATTGTGGATTGGACAGTGGAAGAGCTGGTCAGCATGGATAGAAGAACTAGGAAAATTATGGCAATGAATGGATGTATGCACACCAGAAGTAATGTTGCGAGACTGTACCTGCCAAGGAAGGAAGGAGGAAGAGGGTTGATAAGCATTGAGGAGTGTGTAAATAAGGAGAGTAAATCCTTGCATGGCTATCTCAGAGAGACCACAGAGTGGATGCTTCAAGCTGCTTTAAAGGAGAAGGTGTTAGATGAAGAAGAGACCTTTCAGGACTACCAGAAGAGGAGACAAGAGGAGAAAATCAGGAACTGGAAGGAGAAACACCTGCATGGAGAGTTTGTGCGACAAACAGCATATGTAGCTGGAGAAGATTCCTGGAGATGGCTTAGGAATGGTTTTTTGAAAAAGGAGACAGAAGGTCTGATCTTAGCTGCTCAAGAACAAGCTTTAAGAACAAACTCGATCAAGCACAGCATAGATAAGACTTCAGTGACACCTCTGTGTATATTGTGTGGAGACTCTACTGAAACTGTAAGACATATTATCAGTGGATGCAAAAAGCTTGCCCAGGGAGAGTACAGAAAACGCCATGACAAGGTGGCCCTGCGGGTGCACTGGGAGATTTGCAGAAAGTACAGGATAGAATGTACCGACAAGTGGTATGACCATCAGCCATTGGCAGTCGCAGAGAACAGAGATGCTCGAATTACCTGGGACAAGACTGTTTACACAGATAAGAGGCTGAATCATAATCGACCGGATATTACTCTACTACGGAGAGATACACAGGAGTGGACACTAATTGACATAGCTGTACCAGCGGACCAGAGCATCATCAATACTGAGGAAGAGAAAATGGCTAAATATCAAGAACTAGCATTCGAAATTAAGAGAATCCATAGAGCATCGAAAGTGACAGTGATACCAATCGTGATCGGTGCACTCGGAACAACCTCAAAGAACGCAAAAACCTGGCATGGGAAGTTAGCCCTACCTGACATCGTTGGAAGTGCACAATTGTCGGCCATCCTTGGAACAGCTCACATATTACGGAAAGTTCTATGTTTCTAAGCTGCGGGAAGTAGCTGAGGCAAGAAAAGAGGACCCAGAAGAACATCAAAGTACTGGAGAGAATAACACAATAATAATAATAATAATAATAATAATAGCAATAGTAATAGTAATAGTAATAATAATAATGATAATGATAATAATAATAATAATAATAATAATAATGATAACAACAAAAATAGTAATAAAAATAATGATAATAATAACTGATAATAATAATGATAATAATGAGAATAATGATAATAATAATAATAATAATAATAATGATAATAATAATGATAATGATAATAATAATGATAATAATGATAATAATAATGATAATAATGATAATAATAATGATAATGATAATAATAATGATAATAATGATAATAATGATAATAATGATAATAATGATAATAATAATGATAATAATAATGATAATGATAATAATAATGATAATAATGATAATAATGATAATAATGATAATAATGATAATAATGATAATAATGATAATAATAATAATATAATAATAATAATAATGATAATAATGATAATAATGATAATAATAATAATAGTAATAATAATAATAATAATAATGATAATAATGATAATAATAATAATATATATATATATATTATATATATATATATTATATATATATATATTTTTAAAATATCTAACTCTATGTAACTCTGCCTTTGTTGAACCCTCTGATGTGTTTTTTTTTTTCTTATTCTTCATTTATTTCTTTACTGTCATTATTCTGATATCTTGATTCTTAAAATAATGCCGTGCGTGCATTGCCTCTCTGGTTCTATTGAGTCAACACAGTTAATTTGTACAAATAAGTTGTTACTTATCATACTTATCTAGGAAATAAAACAATTTGCACATCACTTG